GGCGCCCGACGCGACGCGGGCCTCGCGAGGCCGGGCGGACGCGCCGGCCACCAGCCTCTCCCACCCGACGACCCGCCGCTCCGCTCCGGGCAGGGCGAAGCCCAAATGCGTGGGGGCTCCTCTCCGCCCGCAACTCCGCCCCGCCGCGCGGCCGCCCCTTACCTCCCAAGAAGAAAGGGTCCCGCTCCTGCGGCGGCGGCGGGGCTCTCCACTGGTCCTGCAGGGGAAGCCGCGGGGGCTGGCTGAAGGTGCCGGGGACCGGCCCGGGCGTGTGCTGCGGGAACTCCGGAGGGCCCTGAGGAACGACAGGACGGCGTGAGAGGAGGGAAAAGAGTGGGCGCCGTCCCCCACACGGGGGCCCCCGCCCTACCCACAGGCCGACACCAACCGCGGCACCAAAACATCAATTCCCTGTTTTCAGAGCGCTCCAGCAGAACATTATTTTTAAGCTTAGAGACACCCGTGCAATTATCGACCCTTCTTGCCCATTAATCCCAAAAGACCCAATGTCTACTTTCCGCCTCCCTGGGATTCATCTTCTCGATCGTGCTATAATTTGCTACCTTATAAACACAACCACAAGCCACGCCTATGAAGCTGCTTTATTTCTAAAGAAGAAGAAGAAATTGAATGTGAACCATAATAAACATCAGCAACTTCTGGTGAAACAGGACAACGAGAAAGGTTTAGGAAACCATACTGCTCCACGAGCAATGTCACACAGTCAGACTGCACACTGGAGAAGACACTCTGGATGAATGAACTCCTCCAGGTTAACATTCTTCAGTAAGTACTTGTCGCCAGAACTCTACATGGAAAGACTAAAAGTACTTCAATTTCCAGTTGGCCTTGTAAGTATTTGTAAAGACGTTTAAGTTTATTTATTCACTTTTGAGGAAGGGGAGGGGCAGGGAGAGAGGGAGAATCCCAAGCAGACTCCCTGCCGTCAGCACAGAGCCCGACATGAGATCGTGACCTGAGCGGAAATCGGGAGTCAGACGCTTAACCAACTGAACCACCCAGGAGCCCCCGTGGAGATTTTTTAAAGTACCACATTTGCACTTTTTTTGGTGAGGCATTTCAGGAAAGCCTCACAATTTTTCTTTCACTTCTCCAGAAAGAATTCATTAATTATACATACCATCAAAATAATTTTCATTTAAGAACATCTTGTTCTTTGAAACTCCACCAGTATTTCTCAACTTTTAAAAAAAGTCACACTCCTTCCTCCTAACCTTAAACGTCTAACTCCTTTTCCGTCATTTTATTACTAATACACTCAGTTGCTCTAAATGTGCCATCACATTACTACACTGGAAATATTTTTGCAAACCGCGGTGCCCTTCCTTCTCCCTGTAACCATCTGTGCTACCCGTGACTCCGCGACAACAGCACACAGTGAGTGGAACGGCCTCCGTGAAGAGCTCCAGCTCCAGAAGAGCCCCTTGGGTGCAGATGCGGCCCCTCAGCAGGACTGTCACCACTGGGCAGCTTCTAAGGGAACCGGCCTGGAGAGCCTCGGGGTCCGAGCCAACTCTTGGGGACACCGGGTCCATCCACGTTCTGAGAATCACGCCACAGGTTTAGAGATCAAGTCACGAAACCCGGGCTGGCGCTAGGGCCACCTGCAGGGAGCCGGGGCGCCTGCCGCGTGCTGGGTGCGGGGCAGCGAGGCGGGCCGGGCAGAGGGAGACTTGGGGACGGCCTGGGGAAGTGCCGGGTAGCTGGATTCAGTGTCACTTCTCTTGTATCTCTGGCTGGTCCCGCAGCCCAGGGAGAGCCAGGTCAGGAGGCTGGAGAACGGAGTCAAAGCCCAGGGCCAGGTGTGAACCGAGGCTAAGGTCTCGTCTGCTGCCAACCACTGTGGGAGACACGTCGTGCTACTTACCCAGATGCTCAGCCCCTGCGTCTGTGAGCCAGCATTAAAGACACCCCCCCCCCCCCCCCCCAGTGACTACCAACTGCAGGGATTCACACGGACTTAAATAAGCCACCTTGGTAAAGCCAGTGTGAGCCAGTCAAGCATCGATACTGTATGAACGTCTACTTCAGAGGAAGGACCAATGGGCCCTGGGCCCTGAGCCCACCGGCCACCTTCGTCCCCTGTGGCTTCCATACCGCACACCGGGTCTGCAGAGCCCCTGACCACTGGAGCTCACGAAAGCACAGCACGGTGGCAGCGTGCGTCCCATTTCACAGCCAAGGCAACGGAAACTCGGGACACCGTGGTGCCCATGGTGACACCATTCTGTTGTATTTTTTTTTTAATCAGAGATTTCAATACTCAAGAAAAACAAGTTAAAAACTCCCACAGGATTCATTTTATTCCTAACACAATGAAAATGAAGTAGAGGAAGTTTCAACCCACGACACAAATCTTATCAAAATGACTAGAGCTGGGGATTTTAAAGACCGTATTTTCCCTGGACTTAGATATGGGAATGACAGCCTACGGCCAACTCAGATTTCTGAGTTCTGGAAACCATCACATTATACACAAACTTCCATGTCTCGTATTTCATCCATCTCTATGGAAAACGCTCACTCTATGTTTCTGCCTCAGCCAAAGTGCAAAATCTCTACAGAAAGGCTTCTCCTGTAAGCTACCCTCGGTGTAGAAACTTGGTTCTCTCCTGCCCTACTTCACTCTCTCGCCAGCTGCCGGTCCCGTGCACGGCCCGTGGAGGGACCCCTGCCCCCCGGGCTCCACAGACCACTGAGTATTGCTAGATGAGAGCTGGGATCGCCGAATGTGCGGATTTAACTGTGACTGGCCTATCAACGTCCCTCAGCAGTTTCTCACCTGCTCCTGCTCTGCAGCTCCCACTGCCCAGGGGCCTCCGCCACCTTTGTCTCCCCTCCCTCCACCCTCACATCCCCGTTCTCCATACCTGCCATCAGTTAAGGTGTCTCCTACCCTGGGTGCACACGGACTCCCAATCCGCGCCCCCTGCCGTGCTCCTTGCGGTCCTTTGTGTCCGATCCGCTTCCGTTCCCCTTCATCTACACCGAATATTCCAGTAGGAATGACGTCCTTGCTGCTAATTTTCACTCTAACACGACATTTGTCACATTTTTCATTTAAAAAAGAGGAACAGGGGTCCTGGGTGGCTCAGTTGTTAAGCGTCCAACTTTGGCTCAAGTCACGATCTCACAGCTCATGAGTTCGAGCCCCGTGTAGGGCTCTGTGCCGACAGCTCAGAGCCTGGAGCCTGCTTTGGATCCTGTGTCTCCCTCCCTCTCTGCTCATGCTCATGCTCTGTCTCTCAAAGGTGAATAAGCGTTTAAAAAACAATTTAAATAGAAGGAAGGTAATAATGAAGATTAGATCAGAAATAAATGAA